AAGAAAGCTACCTCCCCAAATGTAAACCCTAGAAAGGAGTGGGAGCTTCATTTCAATCTCTATGCTCAGTGATTGGTTCGCTGTACATAGCTCAAAGTGACTCCCTTTCAACATGCTGACTTTTTTACCCTGTTCTGTGGAACCTAACCCTTCCTCGGCATGGTTGAGACCAGGAAACCCCATTCACTGAGGCTTCTGGATGCCTCTCCTGTGGTCAAATGTAAATGTTAGTTGTTGCAGTATCTGTTTTTTAAGATTTAGCTCCAAATCACAGATTTCCTTTGGTCCCTTAGAAAATTCCAGCTGTCAGTATTGAGGGCATGTGAACCACCTCAAAGCATTTATGCAAAGATAGAAGAGGCACCTCTGCACCTTCGGAAATTGTGTACATTCCTATTTATAGATCTTAAAGAAGAATTAACAGCAGTTGGGAGAGTCTGTTTTCCGAACTGCAAGAGCTAAATTAAATCTCTTCTCCATTTCATCATTTAGATGTACCAAAAATAACCATTCCCAGTCTGTCAGGGTTGCCCATACTCCTGGTATTTCGTAGGTACATGCCTGCTTCTCCCCTAGTATCTGGCAGAGGGATGGGGAATGTGCAGGAGAAAGGCAGTACATTGACTCTTTCACCCAGTGCTCAGATCAACAGACTCGGGGAAAAGAATCATATATTTTTACTTGAGGCTAAAAACAGATTTGCCCCAAAGGCAAGAAGAAAGCAGAGAAATATCCTTTACACTCTGCTAACAAGCTACTTATTAAATAATGGTGTGTTCCAGGGCAACTAACAGGGTTATTGACATGAGCTTAATCAATGCACAACATTCTTTGTCTTTCTTACAATTGTTATCTAACCATCTGTCTTTGTAATTATTTAGAAATACACGTAACTCTAATCTAGACCTCAAAATTTCTCATCTCTACAAAATGCCATCTGTAAGGTAATTAAGTTAGGAAAATGGTCCCCCGAAATTTAGTCAGTTAGAGTCTGTAGTAGTTACACATTGCTGTTCACTGCTCATTTGTATGTTACTGCTGTTTTTTTTATAAATTGTGTTTAAACATCTGACTGCAGAGAATCTCTTTCAATATTTACAGGAAAATAATTTTAACAACCAAATAGACTTTCCATCTTTTTTACTACTTGTTTGTCTTACCAACTATACTCAGAGCGATTGCTAACCTGGACTCTTTTGAGTCTTTTTCGTGTTCTGATTTTTATGCACTAGCTGGTTGTTGAACTTCTCAGTGTTGTGGAAAATATTTAAATGAATTAAAACTCATGCAGAATTTTGCGTAAAGTGATATATGTATGAAAAATATTAAAGATTCTTAATATGGAAAAGGCTGGAGTAGTCAATGAATGAGTAAACAACACTAATGTATTTCTTCTAATGTCTTTAAAGCCTCTTTAATATCTAAGTGATTCAGATATACTGTTTTGTTTTCCTGAACACAATCAGTTGTGCTGTCATGTACAAACAATAGTAGCTGTTAAACCCAACATTTAAAACTTTAGCCATCCATTCAAGGACCAAAAGCTATACCATGTGGGCATAAATAGCAAATAATTTCTTCCCATAGTAATATGGTAAGTACTTATGAATAATAAATATGTCTAGAAATTGGAATCCAGTTGGGAAAACAAAGAATGAGTTACTGGTGAGTCCCTTTGAAATCAGTAGTCCTGTTAGGTCACTGAAGTGATCAATTTCACTGGAAAATTAATGTGCAACCTTGACAAATTTTATTAATTGACAAAATATTATTTACTATTTCATAGGTCATCTGCTGGCTAATTGGCATTAAAACTATCAGGCTTAACAAAGGCCAGTGTATTAAAAAACAATTTTTTCCTGTCTTTACAAACTGCTATGTCATATTTATTCCCATCTCAATGAGCTTAGAACCTGGACATGGTGTAGTGTAAATTGTGTTAGATTGTACTTTTTGCTTAAGGTAGGATCACAGGAAACATCTTGTTTGAAGACACTGAAAAGACCAGCTTTCTTATCTCAGAGTGGAGAAATAACAAGCAGGATAGAAGAACTATAGCCTATCTTATCTCACTTTAGTACAGTGAAGTGAGTGGTGTTGTCGGGGGGACAGGACGGGATGCCATCCAGAGAGACCAGGACAGGCTTGAGAAGTGGGCCCCTGTGAACCTCATGAGGTTCCACAAGGCCAAGTGCAGGGTCCTGCACCTGGGTCGGGGCAATCCCCGATATCAATACAGGCTGGGGCACGAAGGGATTGAGAGCAGCCCGAAGGGATTGAGAGCACCCCTGCCGAGAAGGACTTGGGGGTACTGGCAGATGAAAAGCTGGACATGAGCTGGCAATGTGCGCTCGCAGCCCAGAAGGCCAACCGTATCCTGGGCTGCATCACAAGAAGTGTGGCCAGCAGGTCGAGGGAAGTGATTCCGCCCCTCTACTCCGCTCTGGTGAGACCCCACCTGGAGTGCTGCGTCCAGCTCTGGAGTCCTCAGTACAGTAAAGACATGGACCTGTTGGAGCAGGTCCAGAGGAGGGCCACAAAAATGATCAGGGGGATGGAACGCCTCTCCTATGAAGAAAGGCTGAGAGAGTTGGGGTTGTTCAGCCTGGAGAAGAGAAGGCTCCGGGGAGACCTTATTGCAGCTTGTCAATACTATAAGAAAGATGGGGACAGACTTTTTAGCAGGGCCTGTTGCGACAGGACAAGGGGGAATGGTTTTAAACTAACAGGGGGTAGATTTAGCCTAGATATAAGGAAGAAATTTTTTACAATGAGGGTGGTGAAACACTGGAACAGGTTGCCCAGAGAGGTGGTAGATGCCCCATCCCTGGAAACATTCAAGGTCAGGTTAGACAGGGCTCTGTGCAACCTGATCAAGTTGATGTCTCTGCCCACAGCAGAGGGGTTGGACTAGATGACCTTTAAAGGTCCCTTCCAACCCAAAATATTCTATGATTCTATGATTAGTTGAAAGGAGGTAAATTCGGAAGTGACAAAAAGGAAATACATGTAAAGGCAGAGCCTGCAGGACTCACTGAGGCAAGTGGCACTGAACCTACTGAAATTGTACTGTTTAGAGGTAACAAACATTTCTAGAACATCTGGAATTATGATAGGTAACAGAACTTTCCCTGAAACCTAAACCTGCACTTTCAGAACTAAAGCAGATCTCTATCATCTATGCAGTCAAGAACTTTCTTGTTTTCCCACAGCTGCTTTCTGCATGGATCTTTCATCTTCTTCTGCAGTGTCAGGGAAGACATAGATCTGGAGCTGTATGTCCCACTTTGTATGTATGTCCCCCAGGTTTGGGTCTACCTGGCATTTTTGATGTTTCTAGTGACCACTAAAACTGGGAGCTCAAACCAAATCATGACCACAGCACAGTGTGATCAACAGACCTCACAAAACCACAGACAGTAATTGTATAGAAAATTACACTGCATTGAAAGGTTTGAACATCACAAAACTATGACTGAAAATTAGTTATGGATAATCCATGGTTTGTGGTTTAAATGAGAAAGTTAGAAGTTTTCTTAGGGAGGGACAAGCAATTTTGGAAGTGACCTTCCACAACACAACAGGAAACATGCTGAAACTGCCACCCTTCTCTCTTCTGGTTCCAGAGCTGACAGGGACATTCAACAGTTTATAGCACCATTTCCTTACCATCCCACCTAGAATAACTTCCTAAAGTTTAATCCTAATCATGTTCCTTTTAAAGGCAGGAAGAAAGGAGTTGGTGTATCAGGCCTCCTAGCAGTATGATCTTTCTCCTTTTAGCATTCAGAGAACTCGGACCAAGAAATGGCAGCCAGCTTATTCATTTTTTTGCTACAAAATGATGCATTCTCACTCCCTGGAGAGTGCTTCTAATGTAGTCTTCCCTGATCATACCACAAAAGCTGCCTTAGTCCAGTGATTTTCAAACTGTGCTCTGTAGACTAATGGGAGCCCACAGACTGCATCGATTAGTGAAAAATTATCCCCCAAAAAGCAGGTGAATATATATTCTTCAAAAGTGTATCTGAGTGCCATTTTGATGGAGAAACACATCTTCACTGGAAAAAGTTCAGGGATCAATAAGTGAACAAATATCCTAATCTGGCACTCCCTATCAGTAAACTCACAACCCACTGCAGAAACACAGCCTGAACAGCTAAGCTTGACAGCATTGTGTTATGTCCCTTTTCACTGATCCAGAAACAGACGTCGTGAGAACCATAGAATCATAGAATAGTTTGGGTTGCAAGGGACCTTTAAAGGTCATCTAGTCCAAGCGGTGGTTTGATCAAAATGACACAGGCAGTTGCTAGCAAAGACAAGAAAAGAACCAATCAGCTGACTTCAAATTGTCTCCTCGTGTTTTAAAACATTTTAAGATCCTTTTTTTTTTTTTCTTCCAAGCATTTCTACTTGTAGAAAAGACACAGATCCCTGCTGTAAAATCACAGTATTGCACTGGGACAGAATGCAGTCCTTCATTTCTTCACAAACCCCCTGCTCTAGTGGAGTGCCTTTCCTCCAGCAGGATTTCCTTTCATCTGCACCGATTTAAATGTTCAGACTTCTAGACATAAGGGAAAAAAAGCTTCCAGCATGACTCAATTATAGGAAGTTTGTTTTTCTTTGTCTCGTTAGGCTTCCTTCTGCCTGTGCAATATTTGGTTCACTCAGCTTTAATATGAATATTTTCATTTAAAGAAATAAAATCTGCAAAAATTTTGGATAAGCCCACTGGTTTATGTAACCCATCTTAGATGAGACGCTCAGTTAAACTTGAGACACATAAAAGACATTCCCTCTGCCTGCAGAAGGGGCTTTACACAAGAGCTCGTTTTACGCACAGGGAATCAAGTCCTGGTTCTGTTGACATCTATGCTGTTTCGCTCTGATGTCAGCACAGGTGTAGCAGGCACCAAGATGTCATATTGGTCAGTTGTGTGTGTAAACAAGTCTTAGTT